TGAGTCGAATAGCCTTCTCAGCGAGCTGAATGGCTTCCTCGAAATCGTGCCGATACATGCTACAATAAGCCATGTGATGGGCAAGCTTTGCAAAAGAAAAGGGATCCGATTCTTCAGCGGTGATGGCAAGTAACCGTTCATGACAGCCTCTATAGATCGAATCGGCGGTTTTGAAGTCGTTACCCTGAAGCAATGCGTTGGCGTAGTCCGCGAAAGCGTTGATGACTCGGATCCTGTCCACATCGCTGAGCTTTCCTGTAGCTTCGAGCTGCCTTGCACGGTTTTGGTTGAAATCTAGTATCTTCTTTGACCGCTCACTGATTTCCTTGCGGCGAGAAATTCCAAGATATTGGAGCAAGAGGTTCATTGTGACGTGAATCTCAGCTCTTAGCTCATCGTGATTCGTTTCCAGTTGGTCCAGGATTCTCTCTGCAGCCAACAAAAGCCGCATGGCGTCATTTCGGAGGAACCTTTGCCACAGGAACACTCCGCCGTCCTTAAACAGCTCAGCAAGTTCGATGAAAGGCGTCAAAGCGATAACCGTACCCTGGTCGGAATAAATCTTCTGAAGGGTTGCGACATGTGGCAAGTATTCCTTGAAATGGCTCCATTTCTGTTGGTCTGGGAATTCCAAGGAAGGCCGCGGGAGCCGTCGGCGGACCAGCTCGACAGTCAGTTTGAACAACTCTTCAGCTTGTCGAGTCTTCTTGTGAAGCTCTCGGGAGATTCTGATCTGCACGGATCGGTGAACGATGTACATCTTTTTGTTGTCTTGGGTCTTCTCAGAAATGAAGTGCTTGGATATCAACTGATTCAAGATTTTCTCGATCCTGAGGGAATTAGCCAAAGGACCAAAGTGACACTTGAGGTTCGTACCTGAACGGTTGTAAATATGGCGGCCCACTCTGACCTTTCTCAACGACCAAAAGGTCTTTTGGAACTCCGTCGCTGTCTAAGAAGGACAATATGCGGAGAACCTTGTTTGCATCGCTGCTGAGATCCTCCGTGGAGATTTTCATGATCGTGTCAAGCTTTCCCTTGGTGGTTTTCTGATCTTCTGGACCGGAGCCTGGGTTGTTATCCATCCACCACGAATCCCAGTAGCTGGCAAACTCTGACGGCTTACAATTCATTGCCTTCATGTATCCGGTGATCAGAACAATTACCAATGGCAAGCCAGCTAGAGCTGCCAGATCTCCCGCGGCCTTGTACTCGGGATCTCTCAGTGAGTTAGTCGATGGGCGAAGATCTAGGGGAAGCCCATGAAGCAGAAGTTCTCTTCCTTCCTCCGTTGGCAGCTCTTCGAGTGTCTTGCGATAGTAGTTGATTGGCCTTGATGGTGCCGTAAGCCCTTGGTATCTCGTGGTAATAAGGATACTCCCCGTTGTCGCTGATGTCTTCATCGGCGTGAACCCGTCAATATTATCCCATTTTTCCACATTATCGAGGACCATCAACCATCGCTTCTTGGTGTTCTCCAGAAACTCACGCCCAATTTTTGTAAGCTCCTCTTGATCAGTGCCAGGTGCTGCCAAGTCTAGTACAAGAGCAATCTGATTGAAGGTTTCGGAAGCACCAACTTGTGTCTCAGCCTGGACCCAAAAGATGTACTCGAAAGATTGCTCGTATCGGTATGTGAACTCAGCGGCCAGAGTTGTTTTTCCCATGCCACCCTCGGCACTCAGAACATAAACCCGGCCAGGTTCTGATAGTATTTTGTAGAGATTGGCCAACTCTTTTTCGCGTCCTTTGAAACTTTCATCTTTGGGGAAGGTTCTTGTTTCGACAAGTGGAAACCTCTGTGTCGAGTCTGTGTCAGATCGAGGTCGATGAAGGACTCGTGCTGAGCTTTGTTCGACATGGCGGCTCGGACGAGTTCCATCACTCATCAACTCCTGTACTCTCCAAGCACCCGAGGCACCGGGTAATCGATCCCCAGCGGCCCTTGAGTAATCCGATAACGGTTCGTCCTCGTCCGAAACATCGTCGATATCGTTTTCATCGATGTTCTCGGCAGGTTTTGGACGTTGTCCGAACTGTGCGCCTTGCTCTTCAGCAAAAGCTTGTAGCATCCGCAGTTTAGTTCCCCTCTCAGACATGGTGTCGCTGGCACTTTGCGACATGATATCATCACTATCATCTTCTTCCGTAGACTCCTCCCCACACACAGCTGTCAAAGCCAATTGCTCCAAGTGCTCTGCTATGTGCTCCTTCATCTGTGCCGGGTCCAACGGGCACGGACACAGGGGACATCTTTCTCGCGAGAAGGACTCGCGAGAGTGAATCGGCCTCAGGAACGACACCATTTGAGTAGCCTCATCCGGCGAGAAGTCAGTTGAGTGTGACTTCAGCAAATGTTGTTTCAGGTCTGACTTGGTCTTGAATTCCTTCTGACAAGACTCGCAACTCCATACCTGAGGTATGAGATGACTTCGTAGCTCGTGTTGATACCACTCGTCACGCGCACCGTATGCTTTGCGGCTCCAGTCGCATTGATCAAAAGTGCAGAGATAAGCGAGTAAGTCTTCAAACACATGAGCTTCCCAATCCTCAGTGGTTGTCAACTCTTTGTATAGATTGACCTCAAAACAGCAATATGGACAGGTGAATGGCTGACCATCCAAGGATCTGGGCGGTAAAGGTACTTCTCGATGCTCAAGTCCCTGTATAAAAGGCGGTGGATCTGGCTTCCAAGCCGTGGACTGTGCGTAAGAAGTGAAGGATGCTGCACGAGAGAAATGGGGACGGGAGAACAGGGATGGTGCGATGGAAATCTCGGCATGTGAAGAGGAGCTATAGTCCGAGACAGAGACAGAATCGTGCTTGTGCTGTTTTCCCGGAGTTTCTTCGTTTAGAGGAACCGAGGGCTTCGTATGATCGCTGCCAACCTTGAGGGCTGGCTGCTGGAAGTTGAAAGCGTCAACAGCGACATCACGTCGGGGGCCCTGCCGAGGACCAAGTTTAGAGAGCTTGGCCTTAGTGCTCATAGCAATAGCCCTTCTCTCCCGGACAACGCGCAGGGATTGTTGACGTCTCCAGTTGGCTCGCCCAAGCCTTTCGATTAAGACTTTTGATGCGCCAGGAAACATTGATCTAGTTAACTCTACATGGTCGCGCAATGGATTATCCAGTTGGTCGCTGGAGGCATTCGAGCTTCCAGAGCCACCATTTAGGTCTTCTGGATAAGCCTCTCTCAAGGCAGGATTGAGGGACTTTAGCTGGTCCAGTGACTCCTCGGCACAAAGGAAAACTTCCTGGATTTCGGTAGCTATGCGTGCGCCTTCGGTCTGCTGCAGTGGGCTTGCTAAACCCAATTCATCGTCAAAAGAAGGGTCGGCCAAATCTGTGTCGTTCAGTTGGTAGGTTCCGCACTGAAGAGCTTCGATGTCTAGGGGTAGATATCATCAATCAGCAACCTGGGTATGATGGAAACAAGCCCTAGGTCGGTATAATATTAAGTCGTGACTACCTTGCTTAAGTTCATCTTGAAAGACACTCAATAGCGCAACAACCTGATCACGAAGCCTTTGATTCAGCCGTAGACTTCGGTCCAGATTGTAATTGGAGGCCCCGATGTCATTGCCCCAGGTTTTGAATGATGTCAAGACTTGGTCGGCGATGTCAAGTTCAATCTCAGGGTGGTTGCTCTTGAGATTTTCGCAAATCGTGCAGACGCTTTGTAGAGTTTCACGACACTCTTCGAACTTGGCTGCTATGAGAGCCTTTTCGCCGAAAGATGACTTCCGGTCTTTCCCAGAGCGTATGGTAGCATACACTGTCGATGAGAAACGAGGATACATCATGTGGCCACGAACTATCCAGGTCAATACAGAGGTCAATTCAATAGCGTTCAAAGCTTTGAAGTATGGAAGACTTTGAACACGATCAGTGGGGTGCCGATTGAAGGTCAAATGATGCTAGTGGGTTCGCCTTGGTAAATGGAGAGGCGGTCATGCTAAGTACATGAGTGTGCCTTGGAACTCTCCAGCTCGGGCAAAGATGGTGTGTGAGACGGACTGCTGACGTCCTTCAACGAAAAAGTACCGTGCTTCATACACAACACAACATGCAATGTGAGTCTAGCCGAATGAAAATCACCCATGAGCCGTAATTTTTTCCTGACACCCTCCCCGATGCGCCCTTCCGCGATGCAGCACGAAAGAAGAATTGAGGCTTGGATGCAGTAAGCATGCCAGGCAACTGCAGTGCTCAAAACCAGAAGTTATCGGCCAAGCCTCGAGAGTACAAACCCGGCTTGTTCCATACATACTTTACCATTATCAGGAATGATGCTGACTTACACAAGGGGCAGGAGGTGGCTGCTGTGAGCCGAAGCGATGGCTCCGGATAACGTCAGTAACCAAATCAAGGCTGCGTGGCTTGGATTCACACCGTGTGATGAAAGTACCCCGCTCCTAGAATCCTCGTCACCGAATGCCTCCTAGAGAATTGGGGGTGGGTGTGGTGTGCTACCACATGTGAAAGCTCGATCAGGCTGCGATTAATAGGCCCTTCTCTTTTGATCTCACAATCAGCTGGAAGATTTATTCATGATAGTCCTGTCCGAGATATCGTCCGCTCCAAACCATCACTCTCCTTCCACGCCGTATCCCATTATTCCACCGTCGACAATTCGAGATTCCATCGCAAAATGTCAGGCGTCGAAGCGGTAGGCCTGGTACTTGGTCTATGGCCCATTATCGCAAGTCTTGTCAAAGGGTATAAGGCAACTAAGGATGGGGATGATGGCAGATCGTTTCTTCTCCACATTGGTGTTCAGCAGACCATCTACGAAAGCTGTGTGAGACAGCTCGTCAAAGAAAATGAGGAAAGTATTGAACTCGAATTGACGAAGGAGGAAATCAGGCAACTCGACATCTCATTTTGGCAAAGTCCATCTTTTCGAGTGAAGCTGCACGATCGTCTTGGTGCGAGAGATTTTGAGTTGGTGGAATCTGTTTTGAAGCAGATCGAAAAGACATTGGAAAGCCTGCGTAGCCAACTTGAAAATGGCCAAGCAGATCTTGTGAGCTCATGCGAATCCTTCAAGAAGTATAATCGCCTGACTACTGGATAGACCGCGACAGGCACGAGGCGAGGCCGAATGAGGCATCACCTTCGTCAGATCAGAATCAACATGCCGCACTCGGAATTTCAGAAATCATTCGAAAAGCTGAAAGAACACAACAAAGAATTACAACAGCTCGTTCAGGTCTTTGAACAGCCTCAAAACAGGCCCAAACGGAAATCTCTAGCTTCAGTTCGGAAGCGACGGGCTTCAACCATGATGAGAGCGAGACGTGTCGCACCAAAACAGATAAATGAATTCTCCCGGATTCTCGAAGAAAGCTATCATTGTAGCTGTAGCGGTGGACACGATGCGGATCTCAACATCAATGGGGACGCTCAGTTCCAAGTGTACTTCCATGTTGATGACGAAACCGGAAGGGCCTTTTCGGGAGCCTCTCTAGAGTCCCGTCTTCCTACAATATCGGGAGTGTCAGCCATCAATATCGGAATTGAAGGTGATCTGGATAGATCGGGACGATCAATAGCGCCCGAGATTGTGGGGACACCCGAGCGGACGGAGTTCAGCAGAAGTCCAGTGTAAGCATCTGATTACCCCCTACTGATCGTATCTGGAGCTGACAGTATAGAAGTCAGGACGATGCTAGGACATCGTGGTCTCGATCTCGTCACAACAGCACTAGCAGTGGATCTCACGAAAGGAGAACAACTCGAGCACTCCCAATCATATTTTACCGACCACTCTCCGAATCCAATGATAATGGTAGGCAGATTGACGATATGTGTGATCTAGTGAAGAGTCTAGATAAGAACGTCGCGAACACTCGGAGATCGTATCAAACAGTTGGTACACTTGGCCACGGCGACAGACATTTTGCAGCTCGCCACAAAGAACCAGCAATGACAGACAGCTATGTGATATCACTCGATGAGAAGCTACCAGAAACCGAAGATTGGCTGCTATCCCGCCAGAAGCGTGTCGATATTGCACAGAGGCTTGCTCTGGCTATCGTGCAGTTTTGGTCAACATCTTGGATTGACAGGTGGTGGACGTGGAGGGATTTCTCAGTCAAGGATGATAATTCCAGGGAGGTCCAACTATTCGTGACCCGAACCATCTTTGCGCCAACTTCCGAGGGAAGTCCATCCGGAAAGCCAGCAAGAATCTGGCGGTTTCTTCGAGAACCACTACTTGTTCGACTCGGGTTTGCATTAATCGAGTTGGCGCTGGGCATGAGACTATCTCGATGGAGAGAATTGCATAATTATGGCAGCACAACTGGTGAGGGACTTGGAGAAGATAGTCAGGATGAGAGAGACTATGATACCGCTCTGACTATTCTCGGGCGGAAGATATTACAGGAGGAGATCAGTGTGGCATATCAAGCTGTAGTAGAAGCATGCTTGAAGTGCGAGGTCATTCGGGAAACAGGTGCGATATCTCTCACAACGGCTGCGAATTCTTTTTCCGAAGATGTAGACCGCGAGATCTTGCAGCCGCTCTCGGAGTACTTTGAAACTAATTGGGGAGATATGAGGTTGGATTAGGACAATTGTGTGGGCAGGCCAGTATTCTTCCTCAGTCCCATTGAACCAAGACACGCATTTCAATGCTTTCTCTTCTAAAATCCTCCTTGCTTGTGATGGGATTGTCGAAAGATGCATGGGGAACCCCAGGAGTCGCCCCCAGGGGCTCCTGTGAGTCAGCGTTCTTGAAGATTATCAATTCTGTCGGCAACTGATTTGAGAGGTAAAACCAGCTTTGTTTCTCATTGAAATGGACCTGGGTATTCTCAAAAACGTAATCGCGATCGACGACGTCGCCCGCCATCGTATCCTGTGCGAAGTCGACGCTCTGGGCATCGCACAATGCCAGAGGCCAATCGACCAAAGGCCCTCGAAGAGGATGCCACACGCTTGCAAGCCACCTTTGTCAGTCCAATCACAGCATGATGTAGGTGGTTCCATACAGTGTATGTGCAGAAACAAACGTAGCAGAGTCTCGGGGCAGCCGAGTTGATGGTAAATAAGCTTCGGGAGCCACGGAAGCAAGTGAAACGCTGGACAAGGCTTGGATACTAAGGCTTGCGAGAATGTTGTGTTGGGAACAGGGACACAGAATCGAGGCTTACTTGACACACTGCCAGCGTCGCGCCAATATTGCATCTGCCTCCCTCCCAAAAGTTTCCTGAATGATGGCCCTGCCACCTTCGTAGGTATGATCTGTTTGAAGTAACGTCAAAAACGCCTTGGGGCGGGGTAATTGGAGACGCGAGCTCACCGATATGCGCCCTCGAAGCAGGCTGATTAAAGGCGTATGAACTTCCAGTTGCAATTGGCCAGTTCGGATCTCGCCGGCGCACCTACGTCGTACATGAGCGTGTGTGAGCCAGAGCCTGCTTCACTAGTCTATCAACTTTACAGACTCAAGACGAGTACTGACCACGTAGTCGAGCAGATCAACTGATGTGGCCCCTAAAGCCAGTCTCACCGCAACCATGACCTCGGGAGCATGGGTTCTTTCGATCTTATCTGTGATTGCGTAGTCGTCATACTGCATGGTGGATGAGCAGTTGGTCACTGTGAAGCCACACTCGCTGTAGTCCAAGGGCTGAAGGCGCAAATCGTGGAACTTGACTTCATGTTGGACTCTGTCAATGTTGCTCTGAGAAAAGCCGTCTGCAGGGCTTGGGGTATATCGAAGCGTGTAAGGCTTTTCGTGTTCGTATTTTGGGTCGCGGGCTAGAAAATGCAGTTGCGCCGTCAAATGTGAAGGTGAAGGCAATGCCATTTTGACTGGGGTCGTAGAATATGGGAGGCCGGCTTCGAACACTCGAACTGATTAGCTCCAATGGTGACATCGGGGGGGCCAGAATTTATGTTGAAATTGACGATACGGCTGCTCACTCTCAAGTTGTTGTGAAAGCCAACCCTCCGACTTCGGGTAACTGAGGACGCGCACACCGTATCTCTTGCGGGCGCTATGTGGCTTCTTGATTGAACATGCATGTGGCCCCGAAATTCGAGAAGACTTGCAGGTCGCCAGGTCAGCATATGCTGCTTGTGTGTTACGTTCGGTCAATCTCTCATGTACCTCAAATTGTTCCCGTGATCGTCAACTCTTAGCTGATTCCTGCTTTTCGTGTGCTGTTCGTGCTAGCCCACATTTATGCTCTGAATGGCTTTTGTCATGATGATCATGGTAAGCTGTAGCTCAATCAGCTCAAATGATCGGTGTCCCCGGGACACTTTAGGCTCTCGAAGTGATTCACTTCTGTCATGGCATTTACGTGTGGCCATTGATCGGTTGACCGGTTTGGTTACAAGCTGTATGGTACAAAACTAAACAGACGAAAGAAGTTGATGATATCGTGGACTTCTAGACGCACTTGCGTACACGGAACGCAGCTGATTCAATGGCCAGGTTTACCAATCGGGGCATTACTATACGTAATTATCCACCCATAATACCAGAGATCTTTATCTCTGACCGCTACTGCACAGCAGCCTAAGCCAAGCGGTGTAGGTAGATTAGCCTCGGAGTACATGCAGATTGGTGAGAAAGTGTTGGGTTATCAGCTTCCAGTTGAAACATCAGTCAAATATTTGATATCTTCTAAATTGCTCTTGCCGCCCTCTTGTCAGTCGAGGTCTGACCGAGGGAATTCTTGTCCTAAATTCATTTCATTTCCAATTTCGCAAACACAACATCTATTCTTACAACGAAGATTGTCTAGGTTTACACTCAGAGCTTCAAGGCAGAAAATCCCTACCTTTTTCAACAACTGACCCTTCCACGTTTGACCACTTCCTTCGGTTCTGTGACCACTTATTCTTGATATCAAAAGGGCCGAACGTACCCTTCAACACTTCAGTTAATTCAGACAGCACACAGCCTCAGAACCCTCCACCATAAGACTATCAATAAATTCCATCACGAATGGATTGTTCCAAGCCCACGAAGTCCCAGCCTTGGAAGAGGACCTGGCCACCTCAGACCCAGGATGCGGCCACCAGAGGAGCGACAGCTGGAGTAGACTACGGGGCTAAAAGAGGCGAGGTCGTGGTAGTTGACGGAACTAGCGCCAACCTCAAGCCTCTTCATGGTCCTGTCTCCGATAAGAAATGAGGTCAGAGAGCTTCAACTTGTAAGTCACGTCTTGATATCTCGTAAGTATGGTTTGCCTAACACTCTAAGTGTCGGTTCTCCTCGGCCATCATGCTTTATCAAAGGAAGAATAAAGGAGACTTGAGAAGTCTTATCTTTTATGGTTCATGTGGCTTTTAGTGTAGGACCCCCCGTCTCGACCCGCAAGACGAAGTTGTCTGGTAGTCGGTGGGAAATCAACATGAAGTCTGTCTATGTTGGATTCGAGGCAGTTGGCAGAAAGGCTGAATATGAAAGACGGCCTGGGTCAAACCAACCGGCCTCCAACTTGCATATTACTGCTAAGGAATCAGGGGCTTCACCCACTTCCTCCTTCTACCTCCATACGGAGCAATAAATACCACTCTATTTACCCTTCGTGTTAACCGTACGGTTGCCCTGCTGGCGTGTATCTAGCATGTAGTTACGATATCTTCAGGACCAATAATCAGTAAAATGCCTAGACCATCAAACCAAACATTCGCACAGCATTTTGCAGTGTGCATTTGAGCTTCATAGAGTCGTCGTCGTCGACGGTGCGACGTAATGATGAGTCCCATGCAGCGCCATGGTCCACTTGACCGATATTTCATGGAGCTTTCGACCCCCGTCTCATTGAATGTTGATGTATTTGTGGACCATCTATTAATCATGAATTTATCAGAGGATTTTGACCACGGAAGAAAATGACTCCAGGCCGACTTTCAGGGGTCCTTTGTTGCACAGTCGTCTGATTCGTTCAAGAAACGATTTGTTCTTTGCTGGTGGAGAACGGAACCTCTTCGCACTGCTTCGAACTCAATGGGAAGACGACTGGTATGCCCAGCCTCGGCTCCGACTTTTACATGTGAGCGATGGTCCCGCAGCGAGGGGATATTGAACTTACGACACAAGATGGATATGGAGTTCACCAGGACCGGTAGCTAAGGGGTAATGGCAAGTGCCTGGCCCAGTTCCAACCACTCTCTGTCTTCTTTGAAGCACCGGTGAAAAAGACAGCAAGTGTTATCCAGGCTTCCCATATACAAATGGAGTTGAAAGTCGCATATAAAATGACTGCTCCCTGAGCAACCTTCTTGAGCCATTTTTTCTGCCACGTCTTGCGGTTGTTGCACGAAACAGAAATCTGCGTTGGATGGTTTTGTGGGCAGGCATCAAAGACGACTTCGTTGTGGTAGTAATCGACTTGGGCATTGTTGGTGCAGAGAACCCATGCTGAGTTGTGGATGAGGAAGAGACCGACCAAGATGTCCCCCTTCATCCATCTACGGTGTGTGGAATCAGGGATGAGTGGCAGAATTGCAGCCAGGGGATAAAAGCTTAGAGCTGAGACGATGAGTTGTAAGGATGAGCTACTTTATACTTGTAGACATCGGATGTTACTTGGCCATAGATGACAGTAGCCTGCATTCCAAGAGACAGAAATGCGGCGGCCCTGAAAAGTTGATATCGTTTGCCTCTGGACGCCTCGCCAAAGCGAGAAAATAGTCCGGACTTGCCGTTAGATCGCGGTGCCTGAAGCATGTTGACCAAGCCGGATGATGTTTTGTCGCGCTTGGAGGAAGCTAAGATAGCAAAAACACAGTAAACAGTGAGTAAAAAACGCTCAATACCGTAAGAAGCATGAAGCTGCCAGATGTTAGTATTGAGTTTGCGTAGCAGAGTTGTTCAGACATATGTGTACCCCCTAGCCTGCCAGGCCGCCGTCAGTCTCGAACCCAATTGACTGGCAAATTGAACTGTGACATCAGCCTTTGTCGACGACTTGGCTAGCCAGCTCAATTTCTTTTGAGCGTAGCCAGTTGTGCCAATCAATAATTTGCGCATTAGTTGCATTGATGCAGTCATGGCCTTCGAGCGCCGTCAGCAAGTCGTCGATTGCTTTCGCGTCAAGAGTAAGATATAAAGTCGACAAGCTTTTTTCCTTCTCGATGAAAAGATCATAACACGGATTCACCAGTTACATGGCGTTGATTTTCAATTGGGCCTTATTTGAGACAATTAAACTCGCAACACAACTTTCTACGTATGGGAAGATCTTGGCAAGATATTCGAGGTCCTAATTCTCGTCGTGCGCTTATTTACCACTTAAAGAATGGTGTTTCCACTGGCAAGATCAGATGTTCTCCCCCACTATCTCTAGCCAGCGTCCTCGAAGATGCTGTACCCTTACATGCTTGCAAAACAAGTATAGGGCTTGCAGCTTAGTGCGCAAAACGGAAGTCGAGTCTTTGCTGCCCCTCGTCGGTGGTGTTGAGAGAATAGTCCTCCTGTTGCTCCTTGGACATGGCATTCCACCGCCTGTCGCGGACCTTGTTACGCCAGATGTAGAAGGCCTTGACGATGTAAAACAGAACAATGTTGAAGCAGCATACCCCGAGCAAAATCTTGTTTCCACGGCGATATAGAGGCTGGTCGTCGTCGCGGTAGATGTTTGAAGCCGCGATATTCCCCGCCTGGACGAACATGTTGTATAGCGCGGCACTGACAGCTCTCGTTCGCACAGCATTGCTGTTCTTGGCATTCCATCCGACCAAGATCGCGTGACAGTAAGGATAGCTCAGCAAGCCCGTCAACAGCGCATATCTGATCCAAGTGCTGGTATCGGCAGGGAGTGCAACGAGAGCAACCAGCCAGGGGAAGATCCAGATGTTTGAGATGGAGGAAACGATGGCGCGCTCCTTAAACTTCCCGGAAACCCAAGAGATGATCAAGAGGTTGACAGCAAACAAAAACTGGGACGGAATGGCAAGAAGATTGGCCTGGAATGTCGAGAAGCCTAGTCGGCGCAGGATGTAGGACAGATACGTGCTTGGCGGGGACGGCGGGATATAGGTGGTAAGACCGATCAGATACAAAGGCCACTGCTCCCAGTCCTTGATCGCTTTGAACAGGAGAGACGGTCCAACGGCTTCTCTGTTCAGTGTGTTAGTTTATACCCACAGTGAGAGACATTAAATACGGGTATTCATACCGGTTGTGCATGTCGCCCTTGCTTGGGTCGTCCCGCAGCAAACGGTTAACCATGATCAGCTCTTCGTGTTCGGTGAACCATCCATCCTTTCCACGGAACCAGTTTCTGGTCTGGGTAGGACCAGGAGGCATGAGACCCCACGAGAAGAGGCCGATGATGAGTGTTACGATACCCTCGATAAGGAAGCTAGCCATAGTCAGTTCTGAACAAAGAGCCCCGATTGCGACAAAAACTTACAGCCACCTCCAACCGGCCCATCCTGCGACACCTCGCATCTGAAGTACACCAGCAGCGACAAGTGAGCCAACGATGTTGACAGTGCTGAGGGCTGTCCAAAACCATGCGAGTCTCAGAGGCAACTCATTAGACTTGTAGAAGTATGTAAGCCATAAAACAATATCACTGTTTTGAGTTAGTATCTTGCGTTCCCAAAGCAAAGGTGGCAAGGGTAAAGCTTACGGGATGAATCCACCCATGAGAAGGCCTAGCAGAGCCTTCACAGCGTAGAAGCCGGCACGGTTCGACAAGAAAGCCTGGCATCCCGCCGTAATCGACCAGCCAATCATGATCGAAGGGATCCAAACATCAGCGCCAAGCTTCTTGCTGACCAAACCACTTGGCAATTCGGCAGCGAGGAATGATAGAAGGAAGATCTGAACCACGCATAAGCCTATGAGCCTCACAAGGTATCTTGTCGCATGCGGATACTAACAGTTTGTCCATAGTTGAAATCGTTCGTGGTCATGCCCAGCTCCGGAAGCTGGTGTATGAGTTAGCGTCTTCAACACTGCCGTTGTTTACGCCGTTCACTTCTTACCATGTTGTCGGAAATTGCACGATTGATGTTTCGCCGGTGCAGATCGAGAGCACAGAACATGACCTTTCAATACCGTTAGCTTCGGCCCATCAGTATGCTCAAAGGATGAAGCTCGTACCCAAGCCCACACCATGATTTTCCTATCAATCTACGCCGAGCCAAATTAGCATCCACTTGAGTCCGTATTGACCAACTCCGATGCGCAGGGGGACAAAAGTATACCTTCCTAACCAACTTCTTCTCATCCTCGGCCGACCACGTGTAGTTGGGATCGAAACGGTGGCGGTTCTCGTATGAAGCCTTTTCGTAGACCTTCCGCCAGTGGTCGGCGATGCTGGGATCCGAAAAGACATGTTCGTCTGTGGATCCGTACTGCTGGGCGACCTGCTCTTTCAAAGACGAAGCTGAAGTGTCGGTAGCAGCTTGGGTCTGGATGGTGTTGACCTCTTTAGTCGAATCCCTGAAGGGACCTTCAACGCCTTTCGAGGCCATAGCTGGACGCAACTGGCAAACAATTGACAAACCAATTGTCGCGTTGGATGCAGAGTCCTGTTGAAGTCTTTTGAGCTCTAGCCACACAGAGGTACCGGGAGCATGGTCCGGTCCGCGGAGATGCAAGGACCTTTATACATTCCATCCTTGGACCCGACAATCTGGTAGTGGTCTCCAAACCAGATCCATCTCAAACCTCCATCTCGACATTGGATGACAGGGGCTCTGCAGAGAGAGAAAGGCCTTTACAGTGTCGCGATGATCCAGGGCAATCACCTCATAGACGATTTTCTCCCTTGAGCGAATAGAACTTCTTATCTATGGTGCAATTGCTTCACTGAATTGCGCCGCATATCAATGGTCCAACGAGTTGTGCTAGAGAGCGTGGGGGGTGTGATCCGGAGTGGCTCCGGCCAACTTCAATGTCGTCGACGATGGCTGGGCGGCAGCCTTCACCTAGGGGCTGCGAACACAGTACAAACAACTAACTCAAGCTTACTTTACAGAGGTTTCAGCTAAGCGGAAGGAATCCCGTCTGGATTCACGGGGGTGATTGGGGGCGTGGATGTGTGAGGGTCTAGATGCCGGCTGGGGAGGACTGCGCAATGCCGCAAAGATGACGAGTCAATCACCATGTGTGGATAGTGCGTCCGACGGCGAGGACAATCCATGCCTGTCCCTATTGAGTCTTGAGTGTCTCAAGCGGCATGAGCACCCACACGTTTGTTGACGGAAAAGGCTTGGAGAACCTATTGCGTGATGGGGGCCATGGGATTGCGACAGGCTCTTGGGCCGAAGTGTGAGAGTTTGGCCAATCAGATAACAGCAAAAGAAACAACCCGCGTCAACTGCCAGCCCCTCCGGCGGTTCCATCAAATCGGCTATGGAACTCGACGCCGAGAGTTTGTTCCGACCCAATACCTCGTTCATTTCTCTTTGCAGATACTTGATGAAATGCCGTAAGGTCTTTATTTCACCCAGAGGCCTTGGTCCGACGGTATGATTCCAGACCTCAGCGGTGGCTTGTCAAGGGCAGAAAATGCCCCCAAGTTCGAGATAGCTGGGGGAAATACACTTTAGCTCTAAACCGAGCCCAAGAAATGCGAGCTAACCATTCATTTGGGATACTGGTATTATCTCGTTCTCCGCTAGCAAGACTTGGTGTTGATAAAGATTATGAAAAAGTCTCAGACGTTAATACAGGCAATAAGAAACTCGGCGTCTTCCCGATACCAGGGTTGAATTGGATGGAAAGGGTTTTCCGCTCACAAATGAAACCACTGGCTGATGATTCCTAGAGAAGTAAAGGAAGAATGCATGTTCCGCAGGGATCATCTCCCTGTTGACTCCGGCAGTGGGCAACGAAGACATTTGTTGAGTCTTCAAACACATAGCTAATCACTACATTTTCACCTTGTGTCCAACGTAAGTCAAAGGTAGATAGTAATAAATCATCATCAGTTTGGCATTTCCTTCGTAACTACCTGGCTCATACGGCTGGTTTTGCACACTACTTCCCCGAGGCTTGCTCGTCTCTGCCGGACCACATCGGTCTTTGATGTACACAACACGGATCTCCCCAATACTTCGGCGCTCTAACCCTTGAAGGGCGTTTCATACGGCCGCTCAGCCTGCGGTGTGATTCTAGCCAAGTGCCTTCTTGAACCGTTGTTCCAGTCAATGAGAGCTGAGTGCTGAGTGACGCGGTTATCCCAAACAACTACAGTTCCCTCTTCCCACTTCACGCGAGCATGGAAGTCAGCGCCCCAAGCAATGTGCTCGTAGAGGAACTTGAGTAGGGCATCGGATTCTTCCTTCTTGAGGCCAACAATCTCGCGCGTGACTAGGACAACGGTCAGTATTCGGGTGGAGATGACATGAGATGATTAAACTCACATTGAGGGTTGATAAACAGAGCCTTCTCGCCGGTGACAGGGTGTGTTCGGACGATGGGGTGAGTGTTGGCAACAGGCTCACGACGCTTGATGCTACCTTTCTTGACAGAAGCAGCAACCTGCTCGATACCAGAGTGCACAGCCTGGAGGCCATGGAGTCTCTCTTGGAACAGCGGGCTCAGTCTGTTGTAAGCCTCGGCGGCATTGCAGAACAGAGTATCACCTCCTGTCTCAGGCTTGTCCAGGATGTAGAGGAAAGTTGTGCCAGGAGGCTGCTGCTCGTATGAGACATCAGAGTGCCACGCGATAGAGCTGGTTCTGGTGGCGAAGAATTTCTCTGCTGACCTGTCGCCCGCGGCACGATGAACAAGGTGGACTTCGGGGAAGTTTTCAGGAGATCCTGAGGTTGGGTGGATGTGGTGGCGGCCAAAGTAACCGCCGAACTCGAGCGCCTTGTCAATGGGAAGATCGGCGAAGTCCTGTGCGCGGAAAGCGACGACCTTGCGTTCAGCGACGAAGCGAGCAAGCTGGTCACGGCCAGCGTTGCTGAGTGTGCTGAGCTGGACGCCTCTGACTTCCGTGCCGATTGAGGGAGTGAGGTCGGTCACTTGTGCATCCTTGGGAAGAAGATCGGGGTAGCTAGGGTCCGCGTCTCTGCCATGCTCGGTGTGCTGGAAAGGCTGCAGGGGAGGATATTGTTGCTCGGGGTTCCACGTGGGCAGGTAGTGAGGGTACTACATCGATGAAGTCAGTCTTTCTTCTACCTAATCAAGCATGATTTGATGGGCCCTTGAGGTGGTACTGACCTTCGCGCCCTGGTGGCCATCGCCTCCCTTGGCCTCAGCATCTTTATCGTAGGTCGTGGGTGAGAGCTCCTTGTAGTCTCCGGAGCCATCGGCGTACAGGCGGAGGTTGTTGACCGGGAGGTTGACCGGGTCAGTCACAGTCGCCGTTGTGGTTGCTGAAGGGGCCATTTTGAATAATTATTTTGCCGCTAGTGTTTTCTCTCCTTTCTTAACGTCAACTTGAAGATGGATTACCGCGCCCAGGATCCAACCCCCGAAGTCGTGAACATGAGCTTATATAGACTACCCCTCCAAAAGGCCGTCCATGTCGGAGTATATCCGATGAGGGGCATTCGTCCCAACTATTGCATACTGACAAGGATTCGATTGCGTTGCCTCTCGGACTTTTAAAAAGACACAGCCAAGTAGTACCAGCCGATGCGGTACCGACTGATGGGTTCATGGAACATTGCAATGTTATTGGCGTTCAGTACCACATGAGACGAAAGGATGGAGGCGTCGGGTGTTGTTGGATGGGGGGAAATGACGCCATTCATATCTAACAAGACCGGTCTTATGGTGGGATAGCCACCAAGGAGACCATCAGGAATGGCTTTGATTAGCAATGGTGGTCGCAATGTTGCTATCCTGGGCGTCGAGCACGCAATCTGTTGATACGACTCAGTGTGTGTTTGATAACCCCGCAATCTGGGCGGTGCCGGCTTGTACTCTGGTTGTCCCAAAGATAATCAAGAGCATCTGTGAAGAAGTTTGGCCGATCGTTTCTTGACATAAGGCAAGTCAAGGAAAGCCTGGGAGATGAAACAGCTTCAGTCGAGTTGTGACGAAGGACTTGTACGAGCAACAGAGGCTGAGTACAACAAAGTAATGCCATATTAGCTCCGTGGGCGAAGTCCGTTCATTGTGGGGCGGGCGGTTATGTCTCCGTCCCTTTTGTCACACGGCGCAGATCTGGAAGTCGGTCGGCACTCGGATACGCTTCCAGATTCAGAAGCTGATGGTGATTCGCTGCCTGCAGTATTTCCGGCGTCGTTGGGCCCCGGAATCGGATGGCTTTTCGGGTATTATTTCGGGGGTCAACCGGCATCGGCTGGCAGACTACCGGTTTCCCCCGTTTGGATTGAACACCTCATTTTTCATGTCAAGACTCGCACACCTATCTTCTTTCGATTCAGCCACAGTGATCGAGCATTGCAGTCGATCTTCTGAATTGTCATTTGATAGAACCGTGATGAACGGACGTAGGTCATTTAGCCCAAACAGGATGAAAACTTTCTGATGAGCATGTGCATTCCTTCTTAATCTTCTTGCCAATATGATACAGTATAAGAAAGATTCAACATCGTATCTGCTTGGACCCGTGCTGAGTACAAATATTTGCCCAAGACCAACGGCTAGAAAAGACGGAACAATAGGCCATAATGTAGGAATGTGATGTCAACATGAGAAAATTCATCAAGCGTACCTGGCATAATGGAGTTTTGATTTAGTAGAGAACTGTTTACTGAATACTCTGTTCATCACCCCACCTATGCTCTTCAGCCCAGGCAAGCAGGGCGTCATAATCATAGCACTGATGTTGGTAGCCCCATCCCAGGCTTCCAGAGAGCTCATCCGACACCTGCCACTCGATGGTGGTGTCAGCACGACACTGGATGGCTTGCCTGACAAAGTCCCAGCAGTGACCAAGGTGCCCGAGGTCGATCTCAGTCGAGTTGCCATCACGCAGTAACCGAAAGAAGGCCTCCCGGGTGGCCCACTGTCGAAGTTATCATTCTCTTAGCATCTTTAACTGAAAGCGGGTCCCTTTCTATGCATGTACTCCATTTGTAGAGAATGCTGAAAACTTACCACGCAATGGAGCTGGTGGAAGACAGATATTACTCCCTTGTACTCACTCATGGTCGCATTGAACTTTGGCATCTCCTGAACGGCCGTCTCATTCTTGATGATAACAAACCCACGGCCGTCTGGCGGAAATGTCAGACCATGCGGTTCAGAACCAAGTGTCGGGAACATACGCGGCATCAATGCATCCCAAGCCTCCTCGCTCTCATTCGTAATCAGGCCTCCATATATAGGTTCGGAGTTGAGCGTCTTCTTTATCGGTACTGTAGCGCAGCCAATATTAGAAAGTGCCTGTGACTCTGGTTCCTATAATTCCTTGAAAACACGAGAAAAGGAAATGGGCAGTTTCTTTACTTTGTGGTGGAAGCCACGAGGGCCCCGAGGCTGCAACAGTGTGTGGTGTAGTTTCTGGTGTTGGTTGGCCACCTAGTCGCAGTGTGAGGGACACGCAGAGAGCGACGAGGACAAGGTTCGAAAACGCAAGCGCCGTGATGATACATGACGCCCCAGGTCGTCGGCTTACTCTACGTGGCTGATCACCGCTATCGGAGTCATCGTCGGACCACGTGAGCAACCTGCCCTTTTCACGACATGTCTCGGAGTCCATTGCCGCTATTCATCCCATCAACGCTGTGCGATAAGGAGACAATCGTCCGAGATGAGAAGAATCGGACATTGCTAACGCGGCCTCAGCGATGAGGTAGCATATGAGTATAAATAACACGGCCTTAGGATTGTTGTGAAACGAGTCAGCAGCTTCGAATCTTCGATAATTGGCATCGCCTCATCTGCCCTGAGTAAAGTGCACTCATCTCGGTGTCGCACGTTCCGGTTATGCCCGCCGACTTTGCCAGGTTAGTAGGCTCCAGTATACTGACTGATCGACAATCTGCGCCCCGGAACCAACCCGCTTTCAATCTCGTGCGTGAAACCACGCCATGACAAGAATTTGGGCTTCATAATTGTTGCCGTCTTTCCGGATCGACGGCGAGCGTAAAGTCAAATAAATTATAAAGAAGTATCTTTGGCTTCAGTGCTTCACCAGGACACTCCGTACCCTTATCACAATTCCTCAATTGACGGAATATGTCATTCTGCTTTTACTGAAGCTGCAGAAGGGAAATCCTGAAGCTGTTCTACATGAGCCTCGGTGACACCTCGGTGACACCTCGCCAATGGTGCAAAGCCAGGCCAGATTGGCACAGTCGCAGTGGTACAGATTAAGTATAGGACTCATTCCCTAGCGAGATGGTCTGGGGTATGAGACGTCTCTTTTCTCATAAATCACAAAGACATGCACGGCGAGTTTTCGTCGGTTCCAAAGTCAAAGATCTGGGGAAATACGAAGTCAACAACCCTGTACATCCTGTCGGATGAGAGTCATGCAGCAACCGACGGGATACTATTGCTCCGCTGAGACTGATCCTACTTTACCTAATTAACTCGAGCAGAGGTCAAGGGTACGTTGAGACTTTTGGCGAGGTCATACGAGAGAGACTTTGTCTTAGTTTAGAACACACGGCCGCATCTCTAGAACACCAACCTAGCCGCATTGGATGTATATAAATGAGTATACGTTGCAACACTCAATAGACTCTCTTCGCTATACATTAATCTCAACCAACATCATTCGTTAGCCCATTACCACCGCAACACCATCATTATGCAATTCAAATTCGTCCTAGTTGCTGCGTTCGCCGCCATTGCCGCCGCCACTCCGCTCGGTGAGCACCCGTTCTCGAGTGGCGAGCTGAATGCCCGCCAATGTTGCATTAGCAAAGTCACCGGTCAGCGTTGCTGTGGCTTCTGCCGCACTAAGAATATCTGCAGATAAACAGTATCCGTACGTATGCCTTTCTTTCCCATCGCACAACCAGTGTATGCTAACTAGTCAATTCGCAGTGAGTTCGTACGAGATATCTTTTATCGACCATCCTCGCAGACTTTTTGAGCTTTAGCATTTCATCAGCCCGCTCATTGTGGAAAACCTGAAGGGGAGGCAGAGAAGTGAACGTTGTCATTGCAGACGTCTTCAATTGGTCGCCACATTAGTCAACAACATTATCAAGCTCAACGCTCAAAAGCGATATTTGATAGCATCTGAACTATTTCTGTTTAGTAAACTTTCGGGGCGCCATGGTAGACTAGAAATAGCTGCAACGCCACAAATATACCTTAAACACCATTCTATAGATCTTATCTTCATGCATCGTACAAACCACTCTTTTGGGGTGGATAGATGATCTATCTGCGTTTGGATAATATAATGGCAACGGTCCATAATTAATCAAGAACTTCCGTCGGTTGTGGCTGTCCTTCAACTCCAACACGATATTATTTATTCAGAACTCGAAGAGTCCGTCGGTAGTCTCACTCCCTCCTCAATTCCAGGGATCATGGTTGGGAGAGCCATGATGGCGACCACGGAGCCCAGAATGGACGCCATCGTCCCCAAGGTGACCAAGGCCTCAGATTTGATAGAAGAATGGAGACTGATAATGAGAGGCGCGCCAATGCCGATATTGGCGGCCATGAAAGTTATCGGAAATATGAGTAACGCGCCAATGAGATTGTACCCCGTACGATCGCTCTTAGCGCGCAGGTTGGCGACGGCGACACTGTAGAACATAACCTGGACGGTCTCTAGAATGCCAATGACAATGGGATATTTGAAGATGCGGAGCACGTGGGGACCCCAATACTCGTACACGCCACCGTTGATAACGACGATCTCGAAGAGGCATGAGCTGGCGAGCTCTATGGCGGCGTATCGAAAGAAACATCGACGTGTGATGCCGCTGGTGATTTGACGATTCAAAAAGACAGGGACGGTGCCGTAGAGAGTCGCGTAGCCGCTATAAACCCATATGGGCTGCGGGACGCCCATCGAGGTGAAAGCTGTCCACTGGCCGGGGCCGTAGAAGTAGAGCATAAGCGCATTGTCGTAAATTGGCTCAAATATACCACCGAGACCCGCGGCAAGCGCAATAGTGACATAAAACCACGTATTCTCCTTCTTTCGGAGGAAAAGTCCGTAAAGGAGTAAGGAGACCCAGATGACATAGCTAGTGATAACGACAATAAGCTGCATTGGGGCCGAAACCCGAGTGTCGATGGGCGCTGTCAGCATCATCTTAGAAATTGTGGACGGTGAGAAAAGGGGAAACTTGCTCTTTGACCATGTTTGGTTGAGAAAGGAAATCATTTATAAGCTCTGCGGCAGGTAGCTGGGGAAAAGACAGCAGTCGCAACTAATCAGTCCGTGGAATTAGCCCGAGTCGAATCATCCGGGACCGACATTTACTTGTTGGAGGAGGCATATGCAGTGAACAGTCCGTCCGACAAGCAGCAGTGTTGAACTGTTCTGAATACAATGGAAAGACGAGAAGTCGGCGAATTGAATATGTCATATACCCTCAGCACTACTACAATTGAGCCGCTTAGATGGGCCGGGGAGAAGAATTGGCTACTCCTGCTCGAGGTCGTGGTCTTTTCCCCACAATCTAAGCCAGACTTGGCGACGACTTACTCGGGTCTGAAGCCTGGCTAAGCCATTAATCAGACAGCCCCTAGTGTCTATACTCCCCAGAATGCGCTAGAACGTTGCCCCAGATCATGTATACTAGTTTCACTGGGAAACCAGGGAAAGGGTAGAGTCTGTGATTTGACGAGGGGTTGATTATTAGGTGGCAGTACGGTACGCATTTCGTTACCCAAGACTTTGAATTGGTACCATTTTGAACGACCAATGCTGTCATGTAAGATATGTGCCGGCTTACGTGCTATTGGACCCGAGGGGAAGGTTGAGCTTATTAGTTTTAAATTCAATTCTTAAAGAATGAGAGTTTGTTCCGGATACAGAGCCGTGTTCGACTTCGCGCCGGCATTAGTTCTGATGACTTGCTACTGAACGTCTGGTCGGAAGGTCGAGGGAGATCATGTCACTTGAGAAGGAAATCGGCTCTACGCTGAAAGAATCTGGACATTTTCGAAGAGACAATAATTACTGGGAGACCGAGCGGTGAGTTGATGGCCATTGTCGAAACTAGGGGCCATGGCTCAGCGATTCATAGAAACAGCTTCGAAAAACAGAAACCAGCAGGGGATCGCAGAACCTGAGACATAGACAAAGAAGCTAAGATGCCAATAGTGCGAGATTTAGAAGACAGGGAACAAAAAATGAATAGACAGCAATAAAATATCGGTCTTGGGCATTCATAGGCAGGATTGCGGCGGTTCGTCGGTTGCATCCAACAATCATCTCCATTTGGTATCAAGCGGTAACCAGTGCATTTTCCACGCTCGTTTTGGTTGCAGGAAAATTTCTATTTATATCCAAGAAGACATGAGCTGCTAGTAGTTACTGAATCAAGGAGTCGGCAGTCGGGATTATTGGTACGTCCTCGCAGCTGAGAATTCTGCCCAGACTGCGGACCATCCGGGCCTCAGCTTCGTTCGGACAAAGCATGTATTCCCAACAACCACCACCTTTGTGAATTCACACTTCTCTTCAGATATTCTAGACTACCAGATCCATTAATTCTGGTTTCTCTCTCTATTCTCTTCCTTTTCCATTTCTTTTTTTCTAGACACTCTCACTTTTTCGAGGGATCTGGCTGCAAGAGAGTGCGCCCACCGGCAAGAAGCTTTTTGGTAAGTAGTTTGCGTTCGAAGCTAAGCGCCTGTTGGAAGTGGGAATCCACTCTTCTTATTACACGACAGGGTTCACAACGGCACAGCAAGCTTGTCCAGCAATCTCGTGAGCGTCCTAGGCCAAAGTTAGATCGATCGTATCCACAAAGATCCGTCTTATAGAGTTAGGTGGCATAATCTGACAGCCGTGAAAAAACATCTTGTGCCTGGCCGCTCTGCTCGCCCACTTCCCTCCTCGCTACATCTACTTTCTCAATGGCGGTTCAAGGTCTCTTTCCATCATGGCACCGCAGCAAGGGCCTAGACTACGATGCGGTTGAAAGTGATCCGTCCTCCCGTACAGAACGGCCAAGTCTTTCCGAGGTTATAGCATCGAAGCGCTTTCGCTGGCTGCTGGGGACAGTCATTGGTGTGCTTTTGGTGGTCTTTGTTCTCGACAACTCTGTTCAGATTTCGAGGTTCCGACGCCCTACCTCGCCATCATCCCATGAGTTAAGTCAAGTCAAGGGCGCGACGGGCCATGCAGACGTAGACTGGTCCCGATTCGCCTATGTACAGTATGCCACCAACACGCCATATCTCTGCAATTCGGTCATGGTGTTTGAGAGGTTACAGCATCTGCAAAGTAAAGCTGATCGCATCTTGCTGTACCCTTCTGAAATGCTGGATCCCCTGGCGACAAGTGGTAACACCAAAGATGCTTCCCTGCTCATTCATGCGAGGGATACCTTTGGCGTGAAACTGATTCCCATCACTGTTCAGCATAGAAAAGGCTCAGATCGTGAGTTGAGTCTCTTGATAGAACCTACTCTTTAAGTCAATGATATACTGATGCGTCAACTACAATAGCTACGTGGGCCGAATCTTTCACCAAGCTCTTAGCGTTCAACCAGACCCAGTATGATCGAGTTCTTTCTATTGACTCTGATTCCACATTGCTACAGAATATCGATGAACTGTTTCTCTCTCCGTCAGCTACGGTAGCTGTACCGCGGGCCTACTGGCTCTATCCAGAGAAGAAGATAGTTGCTTCACACATCATGCTCGTGCAGCCAAGCGTTGCTGAATTTGCCAGAATAGTGGAAAAAGTAGACCATGCCGGGAAAGAAGAGTATGACATGGAAATCATCAACGATCTGTACAAAGACAGCGCCATGATTCTCCCTCACCGACCGTATGCGCTGTTGACTCGGTCCTTTAGTGGCGATCATCAAGACTACTATCTTGGAAACGGCGATGAGGTTTGGGATGCGGTAACTGTCTACAATGAGGCTAAATATCTTCACTTCTCTGATTGGCCTATGCATAAGCCCTGGTTGAAATCTTCTGAAAGTTTGATCAAAGAGAGACAACCCGACTGCGTGGCCAAAGATGGGAATGAGGATTGTACTGCAAGAGAACTATGGCTTAGTTTTTACACAGACTTCAGAGCTCGTAGATCTGTGAGTACACTTGACTCCATTCAACTACTGCGTCGTGATTTTGCTGACATGCCTAAAGCAAGTTTGCGGTATCAACACCTGATCCAACCTGTCAAACATTGGGAACTTGAACGAGTCTTGAGTTGAAGAACGACAGATACCCAGCACGAAATATGCAGTAAAATCGAGAGCTAAATCTTGAGTTTTCTTTCCATGCATGGAGCTTGGCGATCAAATGAAAGCCACAGCTTGGCCTGAACGTGGCTGTCCTTGGATGCAACTAGGCTTCCATCTTACCTCTTTCGTGCAGGAAGACTACCGTAGACCCTAGGGATGAGAAGTCGCGATATTAAAGGAACCATTGTCCAGACCGCAGGCATTTGCCTTAACAAATGGGTACTAAAGACAGATAATCCACCCTTGGAACAATTGCTGGCTTCAAACTACCTATTCCCGACGCTAGGGCTGCGGCTGATCTTGTGCATGATGTACACTACCATACACGCAGCGATGCGCCGGAGACTAATGTCACTTGACTGTGAATTTCATTGGTGTGGCGTTGAGCCTATGGTTGTGGCGGTAAGCTGGATGTAGGAACTTGGAGGGGCAATTCAGAATTGACAACAAGTGAGAGGATGGTTTTCCAAGTCGGATCTCGTTTAGATCGGCGCTTCTACAGGTGAAATCCTTGAGTAATGTCCAGAGTACATTACCGTACGTCGATACCTTCTTGAAATGATGAGACTTCCGACCATCGCAGGTGCACTACTTCTGCTGCAGCGAGCAGCTCCAATCGTGTACGCGCAATCAACATCGTCTTGCTTCGCAGTTCCTAGCGTTGCCTCACGCGTGTCCTCGATTACATCAGTCATCAGCCGCACAGCGTCCGCGTCGATATTTTGTTCTTCAGTCTTGGAATGCCCTCTGCCGATAATTACGACTCTGGTCGGCACCGTCTCTACGACAACAACCAAAACGCAGACGTCTACCTTCACTCTTGAAGAAATAGTAGGTAGTATAGACTCTAGGGTCGTAAATTAGACTGACGTGGCGTCGTGATTGATAGGGCACTAAGACAACTACGACATCCACGTTCTCTTACACGGTATGCGTTGTCATGTTCCACATTGCTCCGTCAAGAACCTCAAGAAGCTGACACGACTTCCACTGTTACAGGAGTCAACCTATAGTTACATAGCAACTGTGACCGTGAAGCCAACATGGACAGTCGAGTAGGGCATATAGCTGACAATGAGGCGTGTGCTTTTGACTGACTGTTGTAGGCGATTCGAAGTCACAACAGCAAAGCCGAAGAAACGGCGAGAGGCCATGAATCACCTTAAAGACAGAGCAGTGACTTCAGTATGCCCGCCTACATTTCAGAAGAGTGCATGCTCGTGTCTTTACCCATGTCCAGGGCCAGTCACCTTGGATAGTCGCAAAACATCAAGAGTGTTGAGACTGAGATCTTATGGATCGTAGGTTTCTTATGCCGGCAATTCTTACTGAGGCCTGTTGAAAAGACCAGGGTTGACGAGAGTATGATCACTAGGTAACAACTTCGTTCATTACGTACACCAATATCGAATACTATCCGATCATTACAGCCAAAGTGTCACTTCTGACTAGCACTGTCACGGTAAGTCGAGAATCATAGAGTCCCCGGCATTGTCGCTTTATGATTGTCGCTGACACTGATTTGGGGACACTTTAGCAAGCGGAGATTGCGACTCATACACGAAAGATCAAATGCACGTCCTCAGCCAGCGACTCATTTTTCTATCTTTCAGCAACAGTCGCGCCAGTTTCAACGCCGGTCCCACACTACAACGGCAAATGCGTGCTCGCGAACCCACGGTTCGAGTTGTTCGCAGAGGTCGGCGTTTTGTTCGAGCCGCATTATACTCCGGACAAGGGAGCCGCCAGCGTCTTTATCCTCGATAGCAAAGGCCGCATCGTCACGCAGACATCCTATGGCGATCACTTCTTCGCCAACGACGACTTTAGCAACTTCGGCCTGGTGCATTTCCTGCCCCGTGGGTGGATTTAGGCACGCAGGGGTCATAACGGCGAGGACGTCGGGTTCGACTATGTCTATTGCACGATGCAGCCTCCGTCGGGGCGTTACGTTGGTGGGTTCAAGGAGTTGGCGTGCACGCAGGGGTACTTCAATGCGACGGTCTTGCAGTATTGTCCGTTGTATGACGAGTATTTCCTCACAAGAACGGTGCTTGGGGCGGACTACAGTTCCACAACTCCTGATTTTCTGCTGGTGACGTACTTGGTCGTTCCCGTCTGCGGAGGAGAATCGAGTGCTTTCGTTGATTTTGTAGGATGAGGTGGGCTGGAAGGTCCGGAATTGCGGGTCCGGATACTGAAGCGGGCAGGCTCCACTTCGCCGAAGTAACCTCCAGGGGCCGGCGCCGGGAATCTGAGGTGCCTCATCATGCGTCGGGGCCTTGCTTCAGAGCTGCTTTGACTAGGATATATGCAATTATTTTCGTACGCCATAATGCTGTTCAAGCGAACTCATCCATCAGTTCGTAAACCCCTGCTTAATTGTATGAAGGTCCTCTGTCTCCTGATAGTTGGGTGACTGACTCGCAGGAATAGGACGCGTCGAACCGGGGCGGGAAAGTCCTCCATGTTCGTCCTTTCTCCATACGGGAGACATTCTGTTCGTCCTGCATCAATTCCGTAATAATTTTCATGTCGGACAACATTGAGAACCCCATTTTAGAACGGAAGGGACGATCAGACGCGAACACGTGACGTCATACCGTACACAGAAGGCAGGGACCCCAAGTACCGTACCTACGTCATTCAACGTTCCCCAGTTGTTCCTGACAAGCACCTCGCAGCGGATATTGCTGCAGTACAACCAATCCAACCTCAACTGACGCATTTGTTGAGTGCGGCACTTCATGATACCTTCTCCCTCATACAACACACCTCAAAATACCACTTGCGAGACCACAAGCTACCAAGCTATCGCTGCTCATTCTCTGCTCCCGATCACCTTACAATTAACGTCTCTATCTCTCGACACCAAGCAACCACCACGATCACCATGGCAGAGATCGCAGCAGGCGCTGTCGTAGCCGAGCAGGTCGTTTCCACCGGCATTGAGGCTGGAGCGGCCGTCGCCGTGGCACGCCCCACCCAGCCTCTGAAGGTGTCACTGTCCCAGGTCGCCACCACCCAGTCCCCCGCTTTCGACACATCGTAAGTCAGATCCCTTTCAAGGGGGTTGACTCTAACACTTGACCAGCGCTCTTGCACGTTCCCATCACTCAGTCACTGTCGTTAACCACAAGGCATGCATCTTTGGCGGCGAGACAGCAGAGGGCGAGCTGGCTTCTACCGACTTCCATGTCCTCTCTTTGCCGGCCATGACCAAGGGTGAGCCAGTAGCAGCCTATGCCTGCTATCCGGCATTCGCAATGCAGGATGCAGAGACTGGCAAGACCTACGTCCCTTCCCCGCGTTCAAGACATGCGGCGGCAGCCCGCGGCCAGTTCGTAATCGTTAATGGCGGTGCTGATGCTAGTGGAAAGCCCATCGACGAGACATGTCTCTGGCTATGGGACTCTGAGAGTTTGAAGTGGACCAAGATCCAAGGAGCAAGCCAGATTGGCAAGACCATCACGCCGAGATTCGATCACCACATCTTTGTCGAGCAGACCCAGGACTTCCTGGTTCTCCACGGAGGAAGGACTGCATCAGGGCAGGAGGCATCTACCGAGACTTGGATGTACAACTTTGACACTCTTGCCTGGACAGCGTTGCCGCCTTCTCCTCAGCCTCCTCTCGCGGCCGCGTTCGTGGACAACGTTCTTTATACCATTGGGGCTGACTCTAACATGAGCGGTGCTATCCACTACATGGACCTCAAGTCCAACGCCGAGGACCGTGAGAAGCCCGACGCTCTTCAGTGGAAGACTGTCAACTTCCCTACCAACCCACTCACCCCGGGTCCCCGCCCACGCGAAGGCGGCGCGCTAGTGCCAGTCGACACTGGTGTTGGCCGACACTACCTCGTCTATATGTTTGGCGAGAACAGCACTTCAGCCGACAAGGACTTCTACACCGATATTTGGGCTCTTCAGCTCCCTACTCACGGCTTCAACGCGGCTGCTGTGAAGGATGCGATCCGTGACAAGCTGCCTCGTGTTGATTCTGGCGAGTTCAGCTGGGCAGAGGTGGAGCTCATCCCGACAGAGGAAGTCAAGACGGAGGGAAAGGCGCACCCAGGACCACGTGGATACTTTGGTGCAGGCGCTGCAGATGGAAAGAGTCTTATCTTCTGGGGTGGCGTCAGTGCAATGGGTAAGGAGGGCGACGGATGGCTGCTCCAGGTCCAGTGAGCCGTGGCCAATGGATAATTATGTGGAGGACATAGGAAACAAGATTCCCCAAAAGTATATTGCTGCCTTAGTCAAAGACGGCCAAAAGAAACAAAAAACCTTCATACGAGGTATGCTCCTATATGCGTGACGCCTTTGATACCGAGGGACCCGCTTGTAGGGAATTTGGTCAGCCGGCCTTGTCAAGTCAACTGCAGTCGCCTTTTTGAGTGGCTTGGCAAGTTTCTCTCAAGACTACAACAAACATAGCCGGGAATGGGGTTGTTTTGGACAGGGGCCTATTATACTGCTTCATGGAGGGCTGTGCCCCTAAGGGGCCAGTCTGCTGGTTGAGTAGCTCTTCGTGTTGCCAGTGATCCCTACGTATGCCAAAGTGCCTCCTTTTCTCTCTTTGATCGCTAGTGATGGGCTTCCCCTGGTCTTTGAGATCTCTGTTGGAATCGCCGCTCTATCCAAGAAAGGCCGCTCTGCAAGCATAGCAGGCTAAGATAGAAGAGGAAGGGGCACGCTCGGCGTTAAGTCAATATGAGTATTGCATTATGTACACGAAGTGGGATCATCCGGGGGGTTACTACCTAAGTAATTAATATACAGCAAGCAGAAAGAACGGCTTCTGCCGTGCGCACCTTCCCTTCCCCGTAGGAAGGTAAGGCTTGGCTTCCGACCTCTCTTGCATCTGTCTTCTACTGGGTTCGCTGCTTGATCACGCACCTTTCATTTTCATCAGCTCGATACATCTGTCTCAAATCAACACAACACAAGCATTGCAGTACAACGAAAGCATTACAAAAGACATGCTCCGCTCCATCATTATGGGTGCCATCTTTAGCCGCCAGCCGCGCAATCGCCAGCCGCACAAGATCACGGCAGAAAACGCCACCAAAGATTTCGTTTGCAATATCCTGTTCATTTACAGCTCCGATCCAGGAGAGACGGTTCTTTCGAAGATAGAATGGGAGGCTATGCTCTATACCAAAACCAAAGATCTCAAGCAAGTCCTGCAAAAAGGCCTCATCATCTCGGAAGACAACGTTCAACCCCAATCTGGCTGTGTCACGTTCAAAAAGTGTCCCGGTTTTCTTCGAATCAATGACTGGGTCCATGCCCGTCGGTACATCTTGTCTGGCAAATCGCGTGGCGGATGGACGGCGCATCTCGCGGTTGGGGCACGCGAACTCGGTACGCTTGCGAAATTTCGAATGACCGATCTCGTTGGCCATGCGGATCAGGGTGAAGCTGTGAACGAGGACTTGCAATTGGTGTATTACTACAATGCTCAACTTGGGGCGTCTTTCTTTACGTGGAGTACGGATGAGGGCTCTGAGCCATGGTGGCCTATGCTGGTCACTATTGTCCCGCGGAAGATAGAGGTCTCGGCGTCGGGGGATAACGTGAAGGGCGATGCTAGTGGTATCGTGGGGCGGGTGACTGCGTCTGGTTGGAAAACGAAGAAGGAATAAATGCCATTTGGACCTTGCGGGGGCTTGAAGGACTAGATCATGGAAGTGTTGCATGGTTACGATGGTTTCGAGATGAGGTAGTGAGGCCTCTCTCCAGCGCAAACACTCGTGTTGTGCTCGAAGTTGGTGACGATGAATCAACTATGGACTTGTATCACGAATTCAGTATTGCGCTACTGTCCATAGATACAAATAATGCGAAAGTCTTACTTCAAGCTGCAAGAGAGATTCAAAGCGCATATGCCAGCGTCGAAAGATTCACCTTTGGAGTAGCCGGTTGACACCCCTAATTTGATGGCTCGAGGCAGCCAAGGGCCAGAAGCTCTTTCACAGGACAATACGAGGGATGTTTATTCCATATTACACTATCAAACTCCGTCTGGAAATTGGAGACCTGTGCAATTCAGTGTGCTAAATAAAGGCCCGCCAACACGGCCACGGCTTTCATAGCCTTTCCGAAGGTAACATGTTCCTGGCCCAGCAAATGCGTTGGCACAACTCTTTGCTTATGGACCTGGATATGCTTGCTTGAAATAGCAACTCAGATGGAACCGTGGCAACACGTTTTCCCCACCGGAAGACTGCGCGGGTTTATCTGGATTCTACAATTTCCTCGACTAGGCGGCTATGGCGCCCCGCACTGCGCAGGTTTGATTTGATGATGTTGTTCTGCGGCATGCGTGCCCCGCAGTTCAGCCCCGCCTGGCTGGCGTTGGGTAGGCCGAGGCGTTCTGAGACATGGAGTTCAGCAACCCCTTACTAGCATAACTTGTCGAGGTAGCGACCTTCTCGGTGTAGAGGGGACAAATGAGAGATGTCGACGCAGAAGAAGGAAGAGGCAGAGTTTAGGTGGTGCTACCACACCGTACAGCACCACATTGTTGTCCGCCGTGCCCGCCAAGTCATGTTTAGCCCACATGCGCGGCAGCCACAATAGGTAGCGACCATTCCTCGTTCCAGTACTACGTGCCGATCAATTGAAAAAAGGGGCATCGGGCAGGGGTAACAGACGTCTTCTAGCCAGGAAGCGCGCTCCGCCTATTGGACTTTCCTCTCTCTAAGACTACGATGCATAGCCCACATGACGACATGAAGCATTCGACTTTATACACTTTGGCCTCAGAGGTTTGCCTTAGAAGGCGGCCTCTGACCATGCGGTGCGGTACTCGAAGTGGAGAGTCTGAAGGTTCCCCTCTCTATGTTCTTGACTCCCTTTCCTTCCTTTCATTTTGTGTGCCAACGAAGTTTAGAGGAATCTTCAATATCAGACTTGAGCTTCTCTTCGTGAGGAGAAACATCTGATTCGAAAAAGAATCGGGAACAAGCTAAAAATTGCTCCTTTTTTTTCCGTCTCTTTCGGCACCATTTTCGATCTTTCCCACCCGTCTGCCAGCTTCTCATTTTTGCCAGAGGTCTCAGACACGCCTGGAACTCATGGTGAGTCTCACAAGTTTCTCCTCCACACAATCGTGTATGCATAAGCACGAGGACTGAAAGATTCCTTCTAGTCTCTGCTTCAGATATATCCCGACTTGAATGGTTCCCCTGATCTGCGAATCGTGTCTCCGGTAGTAGAGAAAGTAGAGTGAGTATCTCTGTCATCATGAAGTAAGTGAACGTAAGAAAAGGTTCCTGATCCGCTTCTAGCATTATTGTCGTTCCTGGACAGAAGTCAGCCCGAAAATCGTTGACTGGTTCGGTCAACCGGGACCACCTTACTAAAGCCTTTGTCCATGACCTTCTCCCTTCAGACTTTCCACATTCGAGAATACTCTTCTTCGACTATGATCCGCATTGGGCTTTCCGGTCTGGTTTCACAGAGAACAGACTGCAAGTCATTACCCTACATCTCCTACAACATGCTATCAAGCTGAGAAAAAAAGATCCCCTGCGGCCTATTGTCTTCATCGCACATGGTGTGGGTGGAATACTTGTCAAGAATGCCTTGCTTCGCGCAGCACTGGACTCGAGGTTCAAGACAATCAGAAGGGCTACGAGAGGGGTCGCCTTCTTTGGGACACCACATCGGGCAAGATCTCTCAACGCAACCTTGGAAACCCTCGTGTCGGACTTCGCATCACAGCTATGGACTTCGGGCTCCTGTCAGACCAAAATATCCCGAAAAGCCCCCTACTTCGTGAAAGCCTTGTCATCTTTCTCATCGCTTCTCTCTGCCGAGAGATTCCACGATGAATGGCTCTCGAGATACTCCCGCCGACTCAGGTTTCTCTCATTCCATGGACAAACGTCATCTTTGGTAAGTTAAACTCTTCTTGTAATCATTTCAATCTCGAAAGATAAACCGACCAAGATTCTGGGGTTATAGTCGGGGTACGTTGGCTAACAACTTATGAAAGGCTGTACCAGGTCATAGTGCCACTCTCGGTCTGCCCCTAGAACAGGAAGCAATAATCGCTCTACCATCATCACAGCAAGACTTCTGGGCCTTCACAGGCTCGAGTGATCCAAATTATTGCATCTTCCGTAATAAGTTAGCATGGCTTTTAGGATGGATCGCGCAGTCAGGTAAGTGAAGCATCATTGGCTTGTAAGCCATGATTGGTGATTTGATCACAGCGAGGACCTCCAGCTCACATGATGGCCAGACCCTATTCGATATAGTCTCGAATTTCAAGACCTGAAATGGCTTCGACAATTATATCCCCCTGGTCTCAAATCAAGAGAAAATCTCATTCAAGATCCTGTTGAGGGCACCCTGCAGTGGATTTGGTCGAATTCTTCCTTCAATTCCTGGCTACTAGGCGACACAAGCGCAATGCTGTGGTTGACAGGAAAGCCAGGCAGTGGAAAATCGACGTTGCTGAGATATGTTTCGAACTATCTCTGCACTGTTGCCGAAGACATCCCGTATGAGCCTCTTGCGGTCGCTCGACCTTCTTTCGCTGTGGCAAATTTCTTCTGCGATTTATCGGCCCCCCCAAGGTCCTCTGAGAGTATCTTACGCTCACTTCTTCACCAAGTTCTTAGTGGCCAACCGTCTCTCCTTCGCTACCTCACCCCAGTGGTCAAGAGAAAACACCAATGGTCCACTGGCACTGATTTCGGCCTGGTCACAGCTTTGAGGGAAATCTCAAAGCACAGAAGCATCGTCTGCGTGATAGACGCGTTGGATGAGTGCGACCCTGTTGTACGCACCAACCTGCTTGATGCATTGGCAGGTCATCTCGTCGCTCCCTCGGAGGAATCCTGGAGATCGCCCTGTGCAGTTGACACTAGTTGTGCTTGTCGCACGTCTTCTCCAAAACTGAAGATTCTCTTTTCTTCTAGGCCTTATCTCTCAGTCAGCAGTCATGAGAGTCACCAAGTCCAGCATCTTAGCCTCTCCGCCGGAGAGGCTGCATCTAGCCTGGCAAAGGATTTCCAAGCAGTCGTCAAATCAACATTTCCTCTCCTCGGGTCGAATGACGAAGTCGAAAGGCGTAAAGACATTGCTTCCAGGATTGTTGAGAGATCTGACGGGGTATTCCTTTGGGTCAAACTCGTCTTGAAGTCCTTACTGGCTCTGGAAGTGCAGACCAGCGAGAATTTGTTGAGTGAATTGGAAAAGCATCCGACAAACCTGAACGACATGTACTCGTCCATTCTTTCTTCAGTCAATGAGAAGAAGGCTGATGAGAAATCATACATTCTGAAATGTCTGGATTGGGTTGTGTTTGCTCGAAGGCCTCTACGAGTCGAGGAACTCGCTGCGGCTGTTGCATTCGAGACAGAGAGTGGTTATCAACATGGGTTTCCAACCTCAGTCCACCCACCGAGCTTCCTAGACCTTCGCTACAAATTTCGCCCCAGATCGATCAGGTTCTGTTTCTCCCAAGTCCCTCTCATAGAAGTGAAAGGCTCGACGGTTCATGTCGTTCATCGATCAGTCAAGGACTTTTTGTCGTCGACCACTCATACCGCCGCTGGCAGCGGTTTTCTGCCAAAGGTCTCTCGGGGAACCGATCTTGATGTTAACTCCCGCATTGCTGTAATATGTCTGGCATACTTGACAAAGTTGAGTCGGTTAGACAGGTCATCAAACGAGGTTCCCAAACACGATTCAATGCTTGACACTGAAGTTGCGTTTCCCTTATATATCTATGCAGCAACGCAGTGGAGTTTCCACGAGGAGGCTTCAGATCAACACCAAGAGTACCTCCACGGAATTGTCCACAACTTATGCAGTCCGAGGTCCTTCCTCTTGCAGAAGTGGTTCAGGCCTTGGTGGGAGAATCAGTCGACGGAACCCTGGGAACTGCGTAGGTTTCCGACATATCCAACAGAGGGTATCGTGCTTTCCTTCCTCGGAAAAGCCAATGAGGTCGCAAGGCTTCTCCGACATAGATCCATGAGAGCCGATGAATGTACCCCTAAGGGCGAAGAATGGACGCCGCTGATGGCCGCATCGTGGAGCGGACATGAATCCGTGGTTCAGCTTCTTCTCCGGCAGCAGATCGATTTTGCTGCGCACCCGGTTCATTTATCCCGGGCGCTGACGCACGCAATTGAGCGAGGTCACGCTCTTATTGCTCAGGAGATCACCATGGCATTTGCTCGGCCAACAGCAAAGATCTCTGTATCACTCTCAATTCTGTCTCAAGGAGCAACCTCTCCTCTGGCGACTGCAACACGGCTCGGCCAGTCCCAATTGGTTTCATTGCTCTTAGATCGCGGAGCCTGTGTTGACTCCCGCTGGCAAATGCCAGATGACGAACCCAAGCGTACGCGTAAGACTATGGGCTATAAACAGTGCAAGTGGCATAACAAGGTTACGCCATTGGCACTTGCTGTGAGCCAAAATGACATTGAGATGATAGAGGTTCTCAGCTCATCTAGCGTAAGCTTCAAAGATTACGACTATTTGAGCCTTGCTACCAGTACTGGTGCTTCAGGGGCGGTTCGGTTTCTACTGGAACAAGGGCAGGAAGTCCCCAATGACCACCAAAAGTACTCGGCACTTCTTCAGGCGGCAGATCGTGGTGACACCGAGATAATGAAGGTTTTCTTGGATCACTACAGCTTTCTCCTGCCTTGCGAACAGCCAAAAAGTCTGATTCCTGACTGGTTTAGACACTTGAGTCGGCCGGTCGCCATCAAACTGTTACTCCTCCCCGGATTCACAGTCGAGGATGCATTCCTCGACGCATGCGAAACATGCTCCCTAGAGAACATCAAACTATTCCTTGACGTCGGTATTTCTCCTGATGCTTCAAGAAGAGGAAGCTACGCGATTCATCTTGTCCTCAATGGCCCTGGGCACTGCGACAGACCTTCCTGTGAGAGCGAGAAAATTCATGCTCTGGAAGACTTGCATGATGGAGGAGCACATTTCAGCCAGAAAGACGAGCATGGGAACACTTGCCTCCATCTCGCAGCGAAGAGAGGCGAAAATGATATCGCGCAGCATCTTGTTTCCTTCGGATGTCCCGTCAATGAGAGGAATCAACTTGAGGAGACTGCCACAGACATTGTCGCCCTACAAGGCAATGCTGCTTGGCTTCAGCAACTCCTTGTGTCAGGAGCCGACCCAGACATCTTGACCTGGAAGAACGCACTCAAGAGCGGCAGTATCGACACGGTGAGCGTCCTGCTCGGGTTCTATAATCGGTTTCGCCATAAGGGCATCGAGCTCTCACCTATTCCCAGTGAAGTGTACCACCACTATCTCATTTGTGGGGATGTTCCCATTTGCTACACTGCAGCCGTGGCCTATCTAAGATCTAGGCACATAATGAACCAAAGCAGCATTCGGATCGAAGTAGACCGAAGTCTTACATGGTTGGAGCTTGTCCAAAGAGGTTGGGAAGACCTCACAGAAACAACATGGGGCTGGTGGCCTTTAAGGCCACCTTTGCCCCGGCTGAACCCGGATGAAGCTTGGATTTGCTGGAAATGCTTCAATGTGAGTAAGCCCACTATCAACAGAGTACCCTGCGGGAGCTGAATCAGAGGCTAGTGCAACGGCAAAGAGCATAGAGATCGAATATCCTTCCAGTTGGGCGTCGAGATTCGCGCTTTGCTGGATTTTCTCTCAGTGCTAGGCAAAGTTGCCTTAGAAACCACAAGTCGGGATCCCTGTCCCTTTGGCAATCAACGGGTCGTTTTTTCGGGGGCAGTCTGTAGTCTTCTTGAATCTAGAGAAGATACGCTCACAAGCCACCCAGATCATGAAGGCAACTCGCCCTTGCGGAGACCAGTGTCCGGTATCAGAGGCCAAGGTCAGAATCGCCCGCGCGGCTCAGATATGCCTCCCAACAATCCACGTAGGCGACATGTGGCCGAGCCTCGAAGACTGGCAGCGGTTTCGATGACCAAAAAGACTTCGAAATCCCGGCACCCACGGGGGAAACCTCCGAGTGACGAGAAACCAACCCCCGAAGAGCAAGAACGAGGCATCCGAGTGAAGGGCCGTTTTGTCGTCATCAAAGCTGTCTCTTTTCCTCATGACCATATCGAAGTTCAAGCAACAACTACCGACTTGAAGTTTTTGGATGACTTGCAAACCAAGTACTGGGCTCGGTGTAGCATTTTCAAGACATATCTTTCTATTCATCGATTCCATCACTGGGGGTTTGATAAAGTAAGCTATCAATCAGGGTTCCTTGAGCACCTCGCTTGTAACCCCAGACAGTCATGGCATCATATCTAATTTAGAGCGCGTCTAGTACGAACACTTGAACGGTAACTATTCTTCCATCGCGAATGGCTGTGCAAGTAGTACGACGTTGCCCGAGGCACCGCACGACTTGGATTACGACTTCAAACGACTGGCCAACGAGTCTCCTCCGATATCGCAGCCGATATTCTACAGTCACTGCTACGATTGCAAACCTGACTGCCCTCGAATCAAACTCTTGCATAACTGTACAAATACCTTTACAGAAAAGTTTGACGAAGAATGCGTCCCTGAGCCCAGCGATCGCATGGCCGAGCTGCTGGCAAGGGTACCCAAGCGATTCCTCGAGTGGCAGCCGAGAAATTTGGACCACGAGGTGGCATATGGGCTTTCTTCATTTGAGTTGCCGAACGCATGGGGCTTTTTTATTTACTCTATTCTTTGTATCTTGTTGCCAGCGGGGCTGTTTTGGATATTTTGGTTGTCAACCATGGGTCACGAGGCCGACTTGCAGAATGCTAGTATACCGGCAACTCTAGCTGTGGTGTTCTGGGTGACTCTTTATCAGAGCACGGCGGGCAAGCGATGGTGTCGGAAGATGCAGTATTAGGTGTTTTGCCTTTCTTGATGACTTTTGACCTCGTTCTCATTGGATCTTCGTACTTTTAGAGCTATACATGCTAAGGATGGAGGCAGCTACGCCCCAATGATCATATACTTCATCAAATATCAACTCAAATACATCCACCCTACCCGTCTTTTACTCGTCTCGCTTTTACTTCAACAAGTGCCCACCAGAAACCACACCCTCAGGCTTCTTCCAATGCACCGGCACCCCGCCCCAACTCTCCTCAGCATACTGCTGCTGCACCTTCTTACACGTCCTCAAACCCCACTCTGTAACGCCCACCATGGCACAGCTCTCAAACATGAAGGCGCAGCTGCCCTCGCCCACCTTGGCAGGCTTCAACTCGGCGTTCCTCGCTCCCTCTCCACTCTCGGCGTCGGGGCCGTGGCCAGACATGGTATTATGCAGACTCGCGCCTCCGGGGACGAATCCGCCCTTTCCGCCGCGCTTGGCGTCATAGCCGCCCGTGATGAGGCCCATAAACTCGGACATTGTGTTGCGGTGGTAGTAGGGGGGACGGAAGGTATCTTCGGCGACGAGCCAGCGCGGGGGGAAGATGACGAAATCGGCAATGGCGGTGCCGGGGACGCCGCTGGGGGCGGAGAGGACGGTAAAGATGGAGGGGTCCGGGTGGTCGTAGGAGATTGTACCGATCGTGTTGAAGCGGCCCAGGTCATATTTGTAGGGGTAGTAGTTCCCGTGCCAGGCGACGACGTCAAAGGGCGTGTGAGGCTGCGTGGTGGCAAAGTAGTCGTTGTTGAATTTGACGGTGATGGTGTAGTTGTTGTCCCCCTCGTGCGCCGTCGCGCCAAAGTCCTCGTCGAAGCAGGCGATGGGCACCTGGAAGTCGCGCGCGTTGGCGAGGCCGTTTGTGCCGATGGGCCCCAGCTCGGGGAGCGTAAAGTGACCCTGGTAAAGCTCGAGGGCGTAGCCGCGGGCCGGGCCGGAGGGGAGGTGGACCTGGTATTTGACGCCGCGGGGGATGACTGCGATCTCGAGGGGCCGGACGAGGAGCCAGCCGTGTTCTGTGCGGATGTCGAGGGTGCCTTCTTGCGGGACGATGAGGAGGTCGCCGTCGGCCGAGTAGAATGCCGCATTGGCGTCCATGCTGCGGCCCGCGGCGTAGACGTACATGCCAATGCCTTGTTTCAGAGTCGGGTCGCCCGCGCCGGCGACGAGGCGCATGCCGGCGACAAAGTCCCATTCTTTGGACTCGTCATGGTCAAAGGGGTCCCAGCGGAGCTGGTTGGGGATGTATTGGAGCGCGGAGGGCAGGGCGCGGGTTTCTGGGGACGGGGCTGTCGTCGGGGCGTACGGGTGGTGGGCGCAAGAGGGGAGGATGCGGTACAGCCAGGCTTGTTTGCTCTCGTGGCGAGGGGCCGTGAAGGAGGTTCCGGAGAGCTTTTCGGCGTAGAGGCCGTGGGGGGCCTTTTGTGGGGCGTTTTGGCCGATGGGGAGGGAGTCAGGGACGGCTTCGGATCTGTGGAGGAGAAGGTGGAGATGTTAGCATATTCCGGGGTGGAAGATTGCGGGGAGGAGCGAGGGATGAGTGAGAAAGCAAGACGGGCGATTGGGAAGTGAGGTTGTGAACGTACTCTAGATGTGAGTCGAAGCCGACCTGGTAGCGGTACTTCTCCTTGAAGTTAAACGTTGTGACGGGCATTGCTACGGGTTCTTTTCTTTGGGAATGGCAAGGGTTATTAGATGGGTGAAGTCGCAGACTCTGGTGATGTTGTTCTTGCGCAAAAAAGCTGATTGATGAAAAAAATAAGAAATTATGATACACCAATGTTTCTTCGAGGATACACGACGTTCAAATATCACTGCCGTCCTCCCCGCCTCCTCCCCCCGCGGACCTTTTCTGGATGACGTTTGGGTGAAATGCCATCCAATTCCTCCCAAAGCCGGGCGGGCAGCTTGTCTGCGCCGGTATCATATTCCGCGTTTGTATGAGAGGGAAAGGTGCGGCAAGACGCGGCGTCTGCCGACGTTAGCCGGGGTCCGTGCTTTGCTCTCTGTGAACCTTGGACCTCTCAATTCCGATTTCCGACGTGCTTACCCAGAATGCATTGTGTACCGTAAGTTGTGCTCTCGAAGGAAGATGCCCCGGCCGTTGGTTCCGCTCAATGGTGCCATTATTGGGGGCTCACGCCAGAGGTCAAGTCGCTTGACTATAGCCGAGGATGGTTCATGCTCCGGCTTAAGATGGGTGATCTCATCAATTGGAAGTTGACCATCATGCATGTCGGAGGGCATTCAAAAGCGGTGCTGAAGTACTAACATCTTTACCTGTGAATTGCAGCGAAATGTTGTTAGTGCGCGATGGAATTACCCCGCCATCCGTACCCCGCGAACAAGTGAGGGGTTTCCCTTTCACTGTTCAATGGACTCTTCAGCATCGTTGTTTTCATCTTGTGTCCAAGGGATCCGTGATACTACTTCTAGCCGCGCGTAAACATCAGGGGTTTGATGATGCACCCGACATCGATATCCAGTCAGGGTCCCACGGACTTGCGGGCTTTCACGTGGAATCCACGGTAAGCCGCTACGGAGCTGCGGCGTGCAGGACCCTTGCTCCCCGGAGAGTGGGTCACGATGAATGCAGGCAAGCCGCAATCGCGGACTGTCACTCATATCCACTCACTCGAACTACACGCCCGTTTCTACTGAATGTCTTTTCCATTTCAATCTTGGTTCTGGGAGGTCTTCGTGCTCGCTCGTTACTCTCAACATTAAACGGTTGCATATGTGGAAGGTCAACAAGTCAATTGAACTGGGTACCCAAGCTATCACCACCAGCCACCCCGCTCAACCGAGTGTCAGACTTCCATAGTCCTCCTAAGTATACACCTCGAAGCATCAAGCTTCAGAGCAGAGATCCGGATCCATTGACAACCATCTGACGATATCTATCGCAATATCCCATTGCGCCAAGTCGCCTATTGAGCCAAAGCGAAGCAAGCAGTCTTACCAGGAAGTATTGGACAAGATACGAAGAAACAGAGTCAGGAGGTTTACTCCTCGCCCTCGTTCTTCTTGTTCTTCTTCTTCTTGCCGCCACCGCCGCCGCCAATCTTCTCAATTGCGGGGTTCTTCTGGAGGTGAACAACCAGGCGCGTCCAGCACTCCTCCTTGTCCCATTCAAAACCTGCCAGGTACGGGTTGTCGAGCTCGTCGTCAGACTGAGCACCCTATGTTAGCCTCGGTCATGGCATGTGAATCTTTTATGGTGTACTTACTCTCTTCTTATACGCCTTGTGGATGGCGTCCAAGGCATCCTTTATTGTTACTCCCTTGAGGTTGCGTGCTGTTACTTCCATGCCGAGGGGGAAATGCAGGTCAATCTTCTTGACCGGGGGCTTTGACAGGTGCAGCTTGAGGATTTCCTTGTCCTCTACTTGCGATGATGAAGTGTTGATCTTCCTGTTTGGGGTCAGCCTGTGTTATCTGATGTATGGCGACAGCAACCATCAGACAATCCTTGGTGGGTAATGTGGCAAGTCAGGTATATCTAATGAATGACTACTTACCATCCTGTCCGTTGTGTCTCCGGTGCGAGCTCGAGCTCAATCTTTTCTTCTTCTGTTGTACTGTTAGTCGTGTCCCGAAGTAGCCGAGTCAAGGGTCAAGTCAGGTGCGGGGTTGAGGGAGTGACGTACCAAGGTCCTTGATGTTGTACACGCCAGGTGCCGCGGCGGAGGATTGGCGGCGAGTCTTGGACTCCTTGGGTGGTGATTGAGAGAGACCCTCGACAGCTGAGTCGACCTTGGTGAGCGGTTCCGTCATGATGTCAGTTGTTTTGTGTGAAGTGTTTGATCAAAGGTGATCGTGTTGTGTGTTGTTATCTGGGTGGCATGTTAGCTAAGGGAGCTTCCCATGATGCCAATTCAAGCTGAAGCTCAAGTTCCAGCTCCAGCCCCGGAGCATCTCCAAGCTTCAAGCTCCGAGGTCCAGGAACAGGAGCTCTCTTGCTTCTCTCAATGGATGACGTTTGGAAAGGAAAGGGGTAAAGGGGTAGCTACCTTTTTTGAACAGGTGATGTGTGGTTGTGAGAAGGATGGTTGGAGGAGAAGTGGGATGAGGAGGGGATTAAGAAGGGAAGAGAAGGAGGGGGCAAGAGAGGAGGTAGATGGATGTCGATCCGGTCGGGCGCCTGACCTGGCGTGCGGGCCTGAGGTAAGGAGAGGGGAGGGGAGACGAGGGAAGAGAGAGGGGTCCGTCAAAAGTGAAGTATCGAGAAGAGGTACCTGATGTTACGATGAGCAGAGTGCGGCGCGGGAGGATACTTGGAGATGTACATTGGATTGGGGGTGTACTGGCACGTATTAGACGAAAAGGGGTGCTTGGGGCCCTGGGAGTGGTCGGTTTTGTCGGACCAGAGCTGGAGCTGAGCGAGCAGTAGGTACTTACTACCTTACTGACTACTTACTTGACTGAGGAAAGAAGCAGCAAGCTCCCTGCATTGGCCTTGGAGTGGTAGCCATTCCATTGTCGATGCATTACGGTTTCGTCAGACCGGGCGGGGTAACTGCCCATCAATGGCGTCGCCAGGCGATCGCGTGACATGGAAGCTCATGAGATACGCGCAGGCCTGCGACTTGCGGCGAGGGAGGACGGCGAGGAACGGGCGGCAGGTGACGGGTGGTCCGGGCTGGGAGCAGGTGCAGTGCAGGGACCAGGGGGCAGACCTGAGCTGACTGACCAGGGGAAGAGAGAACCACAACCCACAGGAGCTCTTTCTCTATGCTCTCTCTCTGCTACCCTGGATGCCTTCCTCCGTGGGCTCATGTAAGGTTAAACTGGAAGATACTACTTTCATGCTGAGGAAGGTACATGCAATTCGCTCTTGCCTTGCATTGACTCTTTATCCTGAACCTCCACTTGCTCCTTCTCTTCCATTGCCTTTACTCCTACCTGTCAGGAAACGGTACCTGACTGTGTGAGCAAGATGGTCCGACTGGTTTGGTTGGCTGATTGTCCGAAACGGGCATGGCGCGGCCCAGGTCGAACAACCACTCGAGGGGCCTTCCTGACGGATCGGCTTTAGTGCGGTCTCCGAAGTGCAAAGTCTGGGGTAAAAAGTCTGGGGAAAGGGCCAAGATAGAGAGCTTGAAGCTGCAGTCTGACGGTCCAGAGATGGTCGGGCCCACTCCTCCCGTCTCATCCCAAGCTACCTTACCTATATGCAGCGATGAAGATGGGTG